TGGTTGGAATCAATTCCATCCCATACTTCTTTTGCTGCACCTCAAGCTTTCTTCACATGGGATTTCAAAGGTGTTCAATTGTGGCTGCCTTTTGCTGCCAACCCATGTGGGTTTTCTTTTGGTTGCTGGAAAAAATGATTCTTCTGAACCAAGCTTGGTGTAGGAAGGCCTGAGGTTTCAATATGTATCCAATGAGGCTCAAATTTGGATATGTCATAAAAGACACCCATTGGAACAACTTTTATGAAGAATGTATTCCCATCTGAGTAGTGTAAGTGTACGTTTTTGGCCTTACAAGTGGACTGCTGAAAATAGACTGGAATTAACAATGCATTGTAGTCAGCTTGTGGGCTTGTTTTGGGCTTGATCTTCCTTCCTAAAAAATCTGGAAAAATCTGGATATTCAAACCCTTTGAATTATCTTTCCAAGAATATGCAGCCCAACTCAAGAAAAAATTGTAACGACCTTCAAATGTCATTTTTGGCCCAGTAACGCAGATGCTGCCGAATTTGACCTTAAGCTGCCAAAACTTGCATAACTTCCTCTAGGAGACTCGGAATCATGAACCGTAAAATGCTCCAGAAACTAGACTTCTGCATCTTTCCAATGATATAGGGCTCAGAATTTGGTTCATCCTGAGCAAGTACAGTCCAATTCGTGAAGTTGACTGATTTGCAGACATCGTTTTGAGCTAACTTGTATCCAAAATGCATTTAATGAGTCTCAAGCTTATTACACTGAAACAAACACAAAATTTATTAAAAACACAAATTTAACTCAAAAAATAATCAAATCATAAGTTAGAAGGGTACAAAATGATATATAAATATGCACCGATCAATATTTTGCTTCAACAGTGCACTATACAACTTGGAATAAGACTAAGGTGTTGCTCGGTCAGCGCACTAAAGATTACAAGTCCACAACCAAGAAGTACCTCCTTACTTGAGAATTTTGGGGACTCCTGTTTTACCATGATTGTCCAAGCAACTAGAGGCAATGTCAAGAGTCCCACATTGGAATATTACAAGAAGTAAAGACTCCCCCTCACCTATAAAAGGAGACCATTCTCCACTTCGAAGGGGTACTTGCTCCCTCACTCTTCTTCCCCTTATCTTTAGGTCTTACCTTTTGTACAATGTAAACAACTATATTATAATGAGAATATCCTTCTTGGAAAGTAGCTCATCATTCGGGTGAACCACTTATATCATTCTTGTTTACTTTCCTTATTTTATTACCTATCTAAGGCAATCACTTACCTCCCGAAGGCATGCAACTGTTGAAAACCCTCACCTTCACACATCACATTTTACATTTCTATGTTCGGCCAAATAGTGGTCATTCATTTTTGCCATCAACAACAATGATTAGAATTACATGGATTAATCATAAGTTTTGTAAAATAGTGTTCTCATGCTTTGAAGTAACTCCGATTCCGAAGTGTACAATAGTTGGTGGTATTTTGTTGACCATTCTACTATCCAACATCTCTTTTTTTTTTTTTTTTTTTTTTTTT